TGCAGGACTGAGTGCCCATCCAACTTACCCGGGGACTTAAATGTGGGCTTCTGCATCCGGCAAATGTATGTGTGTGTGTGTATCTGTGTGGGGTGTGCTGGATGGGTGTTTAATCTGTGGATCGGTTAGGAAACCTCCTCCCCCCCCTTTTTTTTTGTTCTGCTGTGGCATACTCCGCATTTAAAAAAAAACAACCACCTAACAAACTGCAGAGCAAGCAGTGCACTAGAATAATCTGAACTGAAATGTTAGAACTTTGACATGCAACCGTTCTGCAAGGTTAAACCGGCCTTTAAATGCCTAATTCAGACACAGGCTGGCTAATGACACCTGGGGGGATTGGGGCGTTATTTATTTATTTGCAACAAACTAGTGCTATGAGCTGATACCAGGCAGAGCAAAAGGGTGAAATGTGGTTAAACTTAGCCTAACTTGCAATAATCTCAATGCTGTGGTGATTAACTGTTAAAATGCCGAGAAATGAGTATTAATTACAGGTGCGTGGCTTGTGGACGATCAGAAAGGGAATATGGGGAGGAGGAGAAGTTAGGCTTTCCTGCAAGGGTTTGGAATTCAGGTTACATGAAGTGTAGCATCAATTGACTGTTATTGCTTCTGCAGCTCAGAGTTGACTGTGGTCATTATATTTTATATGTTAGTGGTGATACCTAGTCACATGAATATATAGACATCAGTTTTGTGAGATGGATACTGTGGTGCATACACACATAGATTTAGGTTTGTTTTATAGCGCGCATATGGATATTTTACGCATCTTTATGCATAGGTATATAAATGCTATACATAAGCAGGTGTAACATATCATCCAGGTACAACACATCTCCAGGCTATGTGTGGAGTATGGATACAGGTATATATGTCTGTGCCAGAGGGAGCGTGCACTCAGCAATCGTGTGTAATTGTCTAGGCAGAAATCTGTGATTTGTGCTGTCAGTTTAATTGCTGGGATCCTCTCGAGCGGGTGGTTGTGTCTGTGGCTCCCAAGGTCTGAGCTCAGTCTCTCTGCCACAGGCTGCAATGGGGCCAGCGCATGCCTCCACCTCGGCCCCGCTTGTGTCTCCCTTCTCCGGTGCCCAGCCCTAGATACAGGCTGTCCCCAAACTTTTGTGCTGCACATCTTCCATTTGACTTTGCCACTTGGACCTGAGCAGCGCCTGGAGCCTGAGGCAGAGCAGGGATATAATATACAGGACCTTGCTTTCCATGCTTCTCACCAAGCTCCTTCCCCTTCTGTCTCCAGGCAATACCTCAGGCCCTTCCCTCCCCTTTTATTTGCCCCTTTGCCTCTGCATGATTCAGGTCTCCATCCATTTTTCTCCCCAGAACAGCCACAGTTTTACTGCGCATGTTTTTTTGGCCAAGAGCAAGCACAGGAGCTCAGAGAGCCCAGGTGGGTTGAGTATGGTGGATTATGTTCACCCACCACCACTTACTCCTGGTGGTAGCTGGAAGATGGGATCCACAGGGTGCCTCTGATGTCACATTAAAAACACCATCACACCATTTACTTGCTTCTCGACCAAAAGGCACAACCCTGGAAAGCATGAGCTTACACCCAGAACCTCAAAGCAAGTTTAAATCTCCAGGATGAACTTTGCTGCTGTGGTTGTGTCATTGTCTTCAGTTCTAGTAAGGATCTAAAAGGTCATTTTTTTAGCTCTTACATAGTACTTGCTTTAGTGGCTGGTAGTCACTGTCCTACTTGTCTGTAGAAGTTGGGGACTGTTCAGGACAGCCCATGTCAAATGCATTTGAAGAAATCAAATAGGGTGTGAGGTGCAGGTGTTTAGTGCTCCAAGAATCCAGTAACTGTTCTACTGCTGTTGGTCTGAAGGAAATTCAATACCATGGAGTGCCTTGGCTGTGCAACACCTCACCACGAGCACTTTGATTTTTGTTGGGTTTTTTGGGCTTCTTTTTTTTTTAATCTGAGACACTCAGACTTTCCCTCACACTCCTCAGCTCTCCCTTTGCTTTAATTTCACTGCAGTCATGCATTACACCAGTGCCACAGCTCCATCTCTCTTCCCCTTAATCCAAACTAAAGATTGAAATTTGCCTTTAAATGAGACAAATAATGATGGTTAAAACGGCCAACAAAGTCAGGGAATGAGGGGGAAGCTGCACAGAGCCAGGACCAAGGCATGTGCCAGTATTGCATGAGGGGTGTAAAGCCATTTTGGGGGTTGGGGCTGAGCACAGAGGATTTACACCCCGGCTCCATGCGGCCTTTGCTTTTCAGTAGTGCTGGAAGTCGATGGGCAGCAGGGAAGTATTTACTCCCCAGCTGGCAGTGATATTTTAAAAAAAGCAGTGAAAAGCATCGATGCAATTAGGTATTCCAAAGTGCTTAGTTTGCCACTTGCTAAGTTTACTTAAACCCTCTTTAAAGGGTTCATTAGAAGACTGTGAGAAACGGTAAAATTCATTAACACGGAGGCAGCCATTCCCCATTTGCCTGTAAATTGGTATCGATCGTGGGCAGCGGCGGGCGAGGGGCGGCGGGCGCTGGTGAGGGACCCTGCCCGCCCTGCTGAGCGAGCAGGCAGCGCCCGGCGTGACCTCCGCCGCGCTCCTGCCTAAATCCTGCCCATTATAGTCTCCCATTCAGCCCGGGCGGCGATCGCAGCCCTGCCACTCGGCCCACATTGTTCAGGGAGCTTTAAAGCTCAGCACGGCTGCGAGGAGGCGAGGGAGAGGGGGAGAGCCAGGGCTGCGTGCGGGACCGAGCCCCACGGGTGCACAGTGCGGCGGCGTGCGGGGAGCGCAGCCCACGGGGGCTGCGGGAAGAACTCGGGAAGACTTTGGCCCGAGCTCCCAGAACCTCGCTTTGGCTGCCTTTTATGTCTGCAGGTCTTCCCAAAGCCCCTTAGCTGGCGTGGAGCTCAACCGGATGAGTTATTAGGAGCAATTTTTAATTATTTTTTGTTTTTAACGCCCTGATCTCCCCAAAAGGCATGTGCTATCTTTTGGGGGTTGGTTGTCTGCGGGTAGTGTCTCACTTCCAGTGACCAGAAGAGGAAAAATCATTGGATTCACTAGGTAAGATGCTTTCTTCTTCCTATGCTTTAATTTCTACTTACTGATAAAGCAGTCGCTTGTCTGGGGATGATGAGTTCTCTTACTCTGGCAAATGGAACAGTCCTTCCCAGTGTCGGTTTGTAAATCAGTAGATGGCCATTTGATTTTGGGCTTTCTGAAAACGAACTGGCTTTTTGCTTCCAAATTATGGGATGTAGGCAACTGGGAATTCATCTATATGTAACTTTCTCCCACATGGCTTTGTCTGAAATTATACCTGTATGCATATACAGGAAAGCCTTTCCTCTAAACCACATTTTGGTCTTTTTTAAATGCCGAAAGTTTATGATTTTGAATGAAACACCTATTTTTTAGGTGGAGTGGGAGGCTGGCTTGTATCCTGTGTCTTTTATGTTTCAAAGAGCCCCTGCCAGGGCAGCAACTGGACCTTTGCTGCTTTGTGTCCAGTGAATTATGCAGTTCCCCTTTCCCAGGATCCAAAATCCATCATCTGCTGAGGGCTCAGCCCAGCATTACCGGCCAGGATTGGGAGCTGGGGTGTATGTGTGTGTGTGCACATGGGCTGGGCAGGAGGAAAGTCTGCTGGTTTGAACTGAGCCGTAACTCACTCTCAGGATGTAAATTGTAAATCAGCGCTATTTTTCCTCCTGTGACCATATAAATGCGCATATTGAAACTACCTGCTTGAGAGACATACTTCTTTATATGCCCATATGAACCTGGCAAGCTATGGAATGTAAAGAAGTATGTATTTCAGGTGGGAACCCTTCTCAGAGGAGCAGTGTGTGACCCCGGCCAAGGCGGGGGAGAAAGACAGACAGATTATTTTATATTATTTTTTTTTTTTTAACTGCCTGACCCGGCAGACCGACTGGGGAGTCAATTGATGATCTTGTTCCAGCGCGTGTATTGTTCTGTCACTTTGCCTGTGTCAGCAGGTGGAAATGCTCATCAGGACATTAAATATTCAATATGCTGACTGCGGCATGGGCTTTGAAAGGCGATGCCAGAGGAAAGCTGGCTGTCCGCTCCTGGGTTTTAACAGGGATGCAGGCCAACCTCTCCTTTTTCCTGCTTCCCCATCGACCCTTTTTACCCCAGATATTAAGGCTAGATCACAAATAGAGCTGGCTGATCTTTAAATCTAGGAACAACAAAAGGAGATGGAGGGTGGGGGGAGAAGAAGAGAGAGGAAAAGGATACAACAGTTGTGACTCGGGCGTGCGGTGTTTTAGCTTTAAATTGGTGTGCAAACTCCGTTTTTCAAATCTTTCCCACATTACAACTTTTTGTGCTTAAAACTGGCAAGAAGGAGATATTCCTTTTTGTGCGATGAGCCATCCAGTCAGTGGATCACAGCTAAAGCCAAAGGAGTGCTCTGAATATAGGGATCTTATTTTCCCCAGGGAAAACAAGAAAATTAGATCCTTTCATTCTGGAAACCTTTTCCTTTTTAACCTTTTCCAATGTAAAATAGTTGGCTATTTTTCCGGGATAGTACAATAATGTGACAAGATTAAAGAAATTTGGTCTAAAGACAAGTTTAACATTCTGCCTAGATGGGAGCCGAATCTGAGGGTTTAAAGCTTTCATCCCCAAATTTCCTCGCGTTTCTACGACATTGTAACGATGTGCGAAGTTGAACTCCTCAGAAAGCCGCTCCCCAGCTGCCTAAAGTCCTTTTTCCATGTCCATGGGGCCGCTGAGGGTAGCGTTTTTCTTTGGAGTGGTTTCCCTGCAATTGCAACCCCATCTTCATCTTGCTCATGGGCTCCTACGGCATCGTTTGGCAGGTGTGGTGCCATGGCATGGCAGCAGAGGTTAGTTAGGTCTTTCCGATCGCAGCATCCTCCCCCTGAGCACCATCCTCCCCCTGAGCACGGGGAGCAGGCAAGACCCTGAATTTGGATTTTGGGGAGTCTTTATCCATCTCCGTTCACCGTGAGCACCATCATCACTTGTTACAGGTACGCCAAAGGGGATTTAACTGTAGTCAGGTGCTCATGAGGAGTGGGTGAGAAAAGGCAGGTTGGGCTGTGGGGGAGATTTCCTACCTGTAGGATTTGGTGGGGTTTATTGAGGCTGGTTTTTGTTTAAATTAAATACTGTGGCTGATGGGGGCGTGGGCAGTGCTGACCCCTTCCCAGCAGAGGAGGAACCTTTGCTTTGGCAGTTGGCTTTGGGAAGGCCGAGTTTGTACTGGAGAATGGCTGGTTTGCACATCATCCTATTTGCATTTTCGAATGCGCTGGTTATGCTGGGCCCTGGAAAGCTGGGGTGTTCCTGACTGGCTGCGCTGAAGTCCCTCAGGACCTGGCTGCAGCGATGCAGCAATCCCTGGGCTCAGTCCCACCAGAAGTTACCCTGAGTGGGGACAATCCCTGGCCCCCATGTCCCCTCAGGGATGGGATCCTGTGGGTGTCCTGCCCCATTTTGGGGTCAGATTTAAATATGAAGCTGGTGAATGATGGGAAATCAGGTGAGCCCAAGCAGGAAAGCACTGGTGTCCAAGGAGGACTGCAGTTTCACTCCCTTCTAAATCACCAATGTTACCTTGATTCTCTGGATAAAAAAAGAGGACAATTGTCACCATTCTGGATATAACATAGCATTTCAAATTATACATATTATATATAATTTATATAGAAAATTTCCCTCTTTTCCTTGCTGACCCTTTGCCCCACCTCTTCTCCTTTCCTTTTCCTTTCTTCTTTCCTTTTCTACCTTTTATCTTTTTTCTCTTTTTTCCTGTTGGGTTTTTTTTTCTTCTTTTTTTTTTTTTTTTTTAAATTTTCTTTTTTCTTCTTTTTGCTTCCTTTTTTTTTTCTTTCTCAGTGCAGGTTTTACTAAACCCCCTGTGGCACTGTGCATTCCTCTTGCAAAGGTGCTCACGGTCTGATTTACAGTAGATACCTGCATTTGTAATGCAATTTTTATCTCCTTCCCCCCGCCTCTCTGAATTAATACGCTTGTTAATCACATGGAATTGCTAACTTTAGGAAGTCACTAAGTGCTCAGATTTATTTTTTATGTAAATATTTTCAAAGCTATAACTCTGAGCGCTGTCTCGCAGCATGGGAGCGGAGGTAGCAGGGGAGGCTTTGCCATGGCCTGTGTCAGCTGGGCTTGGGTGATGCTAAAAATGACTTGGGGTGTATGTGGCCCCCCAAGAGCCACGGTAGCCCACTGCTGTTGGCATCGATGGCAGCAGGTGATGGCTGCAGGCCTTTGTCTACCAGTTTGCGCCGTTCTTCCGCTTCGTGGCAGCTCTTCATCCATTTTACTCCTTTCGGATTAAAACTGTGGCTGTTACGTTGCACTAGGTCCTCTCTATTTGATAGCTAAAAAAAAGCCACTTCTCTTACACTCTTCCTAAACTGGTGAGCACCTCCTGGCCTTGAGTGCCGTGGCGGGCGCGCTGCAAGGAGCATCTGTGCTGGACCCACAGCGCTGGGATGCTCAGGTGCGCCCATCCATCCTGCAAGCCGAGGACTGAGCGGTGCCAGGCATGGAAACAGGAGCTCTGAGAATTGTAAAAGCCATAAATCCAGTGGACCAAATTAGTTAAATTTTTCTATTCTATGCCTCACAAAATCCAGCCGTTCTCGAGATGAATTCTCCGCATGTAAGCGGAACTACCGGCAGGTATAAGATGGATATTTTGCACGTGCACATGAGAGCACAGGGACAAATTTGTGCCATGCGGATTTCCCAGGCGGGTTTTTCTTTTTTTTTTTTTTTTGTACTTTTGTGTGTTTGTTACGTTGATGATCTATTATTACCGTTGTTACTATTACTTAATGTTGGAAGACAGGTGGTCCCATAAATTCTAGCACCCTCTTTTTTTTTTTTTAAAAAAAAGGGGGGGCATGTTTGCAATTCAAGTTTAATAGTGCATTCATCAAGAGCAATAAAGCATTTTATTGCACAAGTATTTCAAGGGATGTGCTGGCCCTGGTAAAAGCATTAGTAAAGGGGTGCATCAGCAATCTCATTTAAAACTGTCTACCCAACGTGAAAAATGTTGCGTTGAAGAATAAACTGCTATTAAGCATGATTAGATTGACCTGCAGGACAGATATTTTAGCTGCAGCAGCACAAGTCGATCAAAGTGAGCATCACTTAGATTGCAAATTTTTTTTTTTTAATGCCCTAAATTAAAAATGAAAGAACCTCAGAATATTTAGGACCAGAGAGTGACTTTGGGGGTGAGATTTGTGCATTCGATTCGAAGTGGTTTGGAAAAGTGGGGAAAGGGGGAAAAGGTATTAATTGCTGCCCCTTTAGCATACATTGAAAATATGTTACTCAGATCAACCAATCAAAAAAGAAATTGTGCTGACTCAGCATTCGGGCTAGTCTGCACGTCCGATTGCAGAAGAGATCAGCACTGCACTGCAGTATCTTTCCCTGCCTTTGACACCAGCTTAGCTGGGCAGGGCTTCCCTTGTGTTTCCCAGGACTAGTTTAGGCCAAGAACAAGAGAAGGCCCTGAAGAAAGGAAGAGAGTCAAGGTTGCACGAGCCTCAAGCTGCTAACGATCCTTTTTAGTCAGTAAGAAAGAGCTTCCATGCTAGGTTTGCCCTGCCAGATGCAAGCGGCATGAATTGCTTGGGAATATATCTATTTTTAAAGACTTTCACCACATCTTGCACTTAGCAGTGACTGTGGGCGAGGGGGTGGTGTGTTCCTAGCAAGAGAAATATCCTCGGCTCGGATCCCTCCCCGGAAAGCCCAGGGCTGATTTAAGTACCGCACTGGCGATTGCCTCCCAGAGAAGATGCTGGGTTAAATGTTTGCCGCTTGACGCTGAAGTTGCTCTTGACCTCGGCCAAGCGGGCAGTGATGCTGCCAGCTGCTTTCCCATTGGGATGCAGCGGGTCACGGTGAGAGCAACCCAGTGCTCCAAGGATGGGAGCTGAGGACACGGGCTCCGCTGCCGGCTCGCTGGGCCTGCAGACAAGTCGTTTGGCTTGCCTGCCTCAGTTTCCCTCAGAGGCAAAGTAGGTGCTTGCTGTGGAGTCGTTGAAGCTGTACCTGCACTGCAAGGCTGAAGCTGGAGACAGCCGAGGCAGGTTGATGAAACTACCTGAGGACAAGGGTTTTGGGTTTGTAAGGACTTTCCTGCTTTGGTGTTGGCTTGCACAGTGGTGCCCAGCATGTGTTTTGGGGAGACGGCACAGCTTGTCTGGACCGTGCCCCTCTACCCTTGTGCTGTAATGAAGACTTGTCTGCGCTCCCCACACTTCTGAGCAAGCTCAAGGCACAAGGTGCAGAGGCTGGACCTCAACCAGGACCTCATGGGGCTGTGACTGCCTGGGGGATGTCTTAGCAGGAGTGAGCTGGTCAATGGGGTCTGTGGGGTGCTCCAGCACCGCGGGGTTGCTCACTGGTTGCCAGTCTGGGTGCAATGCTGTGCGGTGTTGCTGGGTCACTCTGCCAGCACCGGGAAGGTTGTGTGATGCCAGCCTGGCCCCTGAGCTTGCCCAGCTGTGCACATGCCCAACTTTGTACACCTCGGTGGGCACTTGTATGTGCAGGTGGAGCGGTGTCCCTGTGGGCTGTCTCCTCCCCACCACTGCAGATCCCCGTGATGCTCTGAAGACATTTTTGTTTGCATTGTGTAACCAGCACCATCCCTGGGTTAGTCTGTATTTTTCCAGAGTGGTCTGTATGGAAGAGCAGAGCTGGTGGATGACACCCTTGTGTGCAAGGGGAAGGCTTTCAGGCACAGATATGTCTTGAATAAAGCAGAATTTGATAGTCAAAGATTTTAGCAGTTGCTGGTGGTGCTCAGGAGGCTCAGGGGAAGCAGGCGACTGACATCTCCAACAGATGCGGGGTTTTCCTTTTTTTTTCCTCCTTTTTCTTTTTTTTCCTGAAGCACAGGGCCGTGCCTGTAAATGCCTCGCCATGCCCAGATATGGCCTGTGCTGGGACCTGTGCCGCTATCTAAAAAAGCCCTGGGCAGACTGATGAGCCTGGGGGAACTGGGGAACAACTGCTATAAATAGTGCTCATTCTCAGCTGCCCTTCTGGGGGGACAGGATTAGGTGGCATCTGGGCAGCCAAGAGGCGTGGGACTCGTGACCACCAACCACAGAAGTCACCCAGCAGCTGTAAGGACAGGAGCCATCCCTGCAAAGCCCTTACATAGGCAAGTCAACCCTGGCATTTGGGGAGTCAGATGAAGCCATGGGAGCAGGAATCCAGTGACCTAAGAGCAATCAAGAATAAAGTTCACCACAACAGTCTGGGCAGTGCCTCCAATCTGAGTAGTAACCTGGCATGGGAGGCAGGACTTGGCTTTTGGCTCTTCAAGCTGTTTGGTTTAAGCAAAGGAAGGCGTCAGGAGGGAGTTGGTGACATGGGAAGCAATGTGTCACAAGGACTTGCTGAAATGAAGAGATTGGTGTCCCCTTCTGGGACACCATGGGTTAATTTGCTTGTTAATTTGCTGGCAGTGAGATTATTGGAAGCTCTGATTTAATATTTGTGTTTACTTTGGGTAAACAAATTAACAAAAAACCCTCAAGTCTTAATAATTTAAGGCACAAACTTGATTGAAGCCAGGAGAAGATAATGAATCTCATGTGGTGATTTCACTCCTAACCTTGCAGAGGGTGGGCAGTGTGTGTAGCTCATGCACATGCAGGATGACTGTTCCCTATATGTGAGGGTTGCTTTTAGCTATGGGTTGCAGGAGTGTGAACCAGCAGAGGAAAAGGACTGTGTTGTGCTTGAATTTAGCTGAGCCTTGAGTATTTGAAGGGAAAAGATGGAGCAAGGAGTGGGGATGGTTTGGCCAAGCAGAGGAGATGGCTGTGCATATGATACCTGGAGGGGAAGTCTTGAAATGTATGCAATGAGAGATTGGGGGTAAAAAATGCAGAGCGACACTGCAGCTTGTCCCTGAATGGGTTGGCTGCGGGAAGGGGACTGGGATGCGCAGGCAGCAAGTGCAACA